AGAAAAGCTTTCCTTTACAAGCATTGCTGTGGTCATGGTGTCTCTTCACAGTAATAGAAATCCTAAGACAGTGAACGTTTATACTAGTGCCTCGTGGAGGCCTGAGAGCCGGGAGAGGACAGCTGGGGTGAGGGCGGCACCACTATACAATGCAGGGCTGAGGAAATGACTCAGTAGCTGCATTATCTGTGCAAGCAGAAGCACCTGAGTTCAAATCCCAACCATCCAGATTTAAGAGAGAGAGAGAGGAGAGAGCCTGGTAGTAGTGACACATGCCTTTAACCCCAGCATGCTCAGAAAGCAGAGGCAGGTGGATCTCTCATTTTGAGAGCAGCCCGGTCTACAGAGTGAGTTCCAGGACAGCCAGGGCTACACAGAGGAAACCCTGTCTGGGGGAGGAAAAAAAAAAGGCAGGTGTGGCTGTATATTCATGCAACCCCAGCACTGGAGATCAGAGACAGGTGAATCCCAACATCTCACTGCACTTCCACCATAGCTGAAGTCAGCTCCAGGTTCAGTGAGAGACCTTGTCTCAAAGGAATAAGGTGGAGATGAATAGAGGACCTCTGGACTCTTCATTCACGTTTACAGGCGTGCATATCTACACACATAGGCTACACCACACACACAATGTGGCAGCAGCTTCGGTGGGCTAGCGGGTGGCTGAAGGTGGGAGTGTGCCAGCGCCTGGGCTCTATTCTCTTTGTAACCGAGGAACTGAAAGCTCGGGAACTCCCTCATGAAGGACCCCACGGATTGACGGAGGGCCAGCGGTCCAAGACTGATAAGAAAATAATCCAGGGTGCGTGATAGGATGCAGGGGGTCTGCCTCACTGAAGCAACAGGGAGTTTAGGGATATGCATTGGCCAACCTGGTGGGAAGCAAACCGTACCTGGCTGACGCTGTACACAGTAGGCACCAGGGTATCCAGCCCCAAGCCTGGGGTACTCCAGGCAGCGCTGAAGGTAGCGTACGTCCTCGAGGAGAAGTGCAGGGTCAGTTGTTGGCCCTGGGTAGTCATGCTCACAGTCCAGGATGGGAGAGACCCTGTTTGTGGGAGGTGATCAGAGCTGGGTTGTGCTGGGCCTGGAGGTCACAGGCGAGTGAGGGTGAGATGTGCAAGAAAGGATTCCTTAGTGACTCACCGCTCTGGTGGGGACATTCAATATGGCTGCTGTTTTCAAAAGAAAACTGAGAAACACACGAGTGTCGAGTCAGCGAGATTCGGTCCCTTCCTCCCGCCTCCCACTGCCAGCCCCCGCCCATGGTTGTACCTTAAGGCAGAGCTGGGGGTGCAGATCCACATTCTCCAGGACATACCACTGTTAAAGAGAGAGGAGCTGGTCAGGGAGCAGGTCTCTGGGCCCCACCCGGCCCACCTCAGTCCTGGAGGGAGGGGATGTCCTTACTCCTTCTGATTCCTGTGCTGTGGCATTGGGGAGGCTTTCACAGGGCATGAGCGGGTCCTGTCTCTGGCAGAGGGAGGCCTCCAGTTTCAGTGGGCAGCGGAGTGTCAGAGCCATGACCATCTGATCGTGCCGGCTGTAGTCAGTGAAGTGTACTGACTTCCAGAAGTCCGAGCCATCTGGGCAGGCGGCAGGTCGGAGGATGAGGCCACAGCGCAGCTGTAACACCATCTCCCGACCCCCACCCCAGGGCACCAGGAGAAAATACCGAAGGACCACACAATTCCTCCCCCCTCCTCCTTCTCTCCCTTTCCCCTCCCTCCTTCCCTCCCTCCCCCTCCCTCCTTCCCTCCCTTTCTACCCAGCTTTCTTGACTTTACCTTTCCATCCTGGGCCTCCACACTGAACACCCCTTACTGTACCCCATACTCAAAATCTGTGTAGGCTCCTCTCAGAATCTGAATGTCTGCTCCCCTGCCTCTTCTTCCTAAATCTCGTCCATTTCCTGAGCTCAGGGGCCAGCTCCTCTGAGACCCTCTCTGCTCACAAGTGTCCCTGGGCTTCTCCTCTCCTGAGTTTGTGTAGCTTTGTGTTACTTGTACCTGAGTGTCCTCTCTTCTCAAGGTCACCACTGTGCATACAGCATCCAGACAACACCAGCCTCTTCCCCCAAAAATATTTCATTCAAGCCTCATAAAGAGTTTTGATTTTATAGATGAGGGAAGGGGGCTCTGGGGTAATCCACAGCAGACTGAAAAGGGAGCCTAGGTCTTTGGTTGGTCCTCACACACATCACTCCCTGGGTGGGTCTCTTCCACTCATCATGCTCTGCACTCAGGAGCTCATCTGCAGATTAACAGCTAGACACTGTGGCCCTTTCCCCCTGGCTCCAGAAAAAAAGAAGTTCTCATGCCATCTGGGGTCTTCCTCCATCACACACACACATACACACACACACACACACACACACACACACACACACACACACACAGAGGGGTATGAATGTGCATCAGGATTAATACAAACAGCACTCACAGGCTTCAGGCCAGCTCTGGAAGGGACACTTTTTGCGCCTCACAGTGTCCTCTTGCAGGTAGGAGGCCTGGTGAACACAGAGAGAGTCAAGGATATGGCTTTTCTGAAGTCATCGTTCTGGACCTAGCTTACTGCAATGAAGCAGCTTGAGCTGTAGGACACTAATCAGGGAGCCATGTGGAGCATGGGCAAGGGTTAGGGCTCCAGAGCACAGGGAGGAGCAGCAAATGAGGGGCTGACTCCTCCTGTCCCCAAAGAACTATCCCAGCCACAGAGAAGTCCTGAGGGTCACATCCATCAATTTCAGGCTTCTGACCTCCATTCTGGACTTTCTCAAGGTACCCAGCACCCTGTGTTGACTCCTCACTCTGACTCCCTAAGAGTCACCGGCTGTCTCCTCTGGCAGTTTCTTGTTTCCCAGGTCTCTGTCTACACCCTCCTGTTAGTTCCTGTCTTCCCCCTAAAAATGTCCAAAGCATCTTTATCTTCAGACTTACAAGGAGAGATGGAGGACTCCAATGGAGGGCTGGAAAGGACATGACTTTGGAAGGAATATGCAACCTTGGCTCTCAAGAACACAGTGATGATGACTGTTTATTCTGTGTCTGTGAGCTGAAGCCAAATCTGGATCAGGGAAGGCAGCATCCAGGCAGGGCTGAGGTAGAACTGGCTGAGGTGGAACTGCCTAGGACCCTTCTGCATCCAAACACATGTGGCCTAGCCAGCACCAGTTTCCTAAGCATCCCAGTAGTCTGGTCCTTTTGGGGTCTCTCTTTAATGCTGTATGGCTTGCTCTATCACCAAATCATCTCTGTCCTTCCCTAGTCCTTTGCAAGTTGACTTACTGGAGATTCTGTTGGACAAGGAGCCATGGTTAACCCACGTTTCCCTGTGCTCACCTCTATACACATGCAGGGCAGGAGGAATTCATAGGGCAGGTCTGCAGTGTGGCCCCCAGGCACAATTTTCTGTGGATAAAACCACAAAGGGAGAGAAAAAGAGACACCTAAGAAAAAGCATGGACACTATGGACAAGGCAGGAAGAAGCTGGAACCTTGGACAATATACCTTACTTTCCTACTCCGTGAAACTTATTTCTCCCTCCCATGGGATCTCGGTTTTATACTCTGGCCATTTGCTTGAGGTAAAGGAGCAGGGGTAGGGGAAAGACTATACATTTATTGAGCTCCAGTTGTATGCCATGCAAGGTGTTAGAAGCATCAACTCTGCTAAAGGCTGGCATCACCATGACGTTAGAGGGTACAGTCATTATAGACATGAAGTGAGCCGAGGGACTCCAGAGCATGGCATCAGTCTCTGCACGAGATGCCCAGCCACGTGCAGAGGCGTCTGTGATGAGCGGAGGTTGAAGTGTGCTGCTGTGCCTGGACTGTGAGATGGGGGGGGTATCATTTTCGGAGGATTAGACAGAAGGTGTGAGGGAGGAGAACAGCAAGACATAAGTGACAGTTTGTCACCTTATCAGGGAACAGCCTCTTGAGGAAATAACAAAGCGTTTGTTGTTGTTTTTCTTAAGACTCACTTACCCCGAACTGACCTCAGACTCATTATATATCCAAGGAAGACCTTGAATGTCTGAGCCTCCTGCTTTGACCTCCCATCCTATTTGTACAATGCCAGAGATCAAGCATGCTGGGCAA